CCAAACCCTAAACCCCACACCCTTCGGCAGATCGGACACAATAGGTGCTCCAAACAAGAGACCCAAACCCTAAACCCTAAACCCTCAGGGGTTTCGCCATGGTAGGGAGTTAAGGCGGAGAAAACCCGAACCCGCCGTCCTCAAAGCCCTCAGCATCTAGCGCGACAGCCCGGAAACGGTTTAGGGTTTAGGGGTTTTAGGGTTTAGGAGTTTTAGGGTTTAGGAGTTTTAGGGTTTAGGGTTCAGGGGTTTAGGGTTCAGGGGTTTAGGCTTTAGGGGTTTAGGCTTTAGGGGTTCAGGGTTCAGGGTTTAAGAGAACCTTGACGTGGTCATATGTAAAGTAGGGCCTCTTCGGGGGTCCTTTTTACAAGGGTCCAGTTCTGTTTTGGGGATCCAAAACGGGACCCTCTTTTAGAGGACTACCCGTAAAGTTATGTGGCCGGTGAAGGGGTTCAGTCACCTTTAGTGTCATGATATGCCGCGATATGCCCTTTTGGTCCCGATTCAGTAGTATTATACCTCAGGGTTCTTTCATACAAGCATACTCTAGTGCACTCCCAACACCCTATTCCAATTTTTACGGCCGCTATATGACACCCAAACGGGCCCTGGTGCAGATGGACTCTGGCGACAGAGCAGCTACGAGGACAATGGGGGAAGCTAAATGAAGACCATTTTTTCAGCGCATGTGGCAAACATTATGTTGCAGGTAGGTGGGTATTTCTCCAAGTTAGGTTCCTTTGTAGGTCCCCAATATAGTACGGCACCCTTATAAGAAGGACCCCAAACGGGACCCTAATTTAGAGAACTACGCATGTACTGAGTTTCAAGGCGCTGAGGGCAAGTGTTTCTCGGAGAAGCCTCTGTTTCTGTTTCCTTTCTCCGTCGGTTGAAGGGAGGGAGCAAGGGAGAAGGAAGCGTGAGAATCAGCGGGATAGAGGCAGAGGTTGAGTGAGAGGGAGAGATGCAGAGGTCTGTAACGAGAGGGTTCAGGGTTTGGGGTTTGAGGTAGACGAGCCGTCCTTAAACCCTCAACCCCAAAGTCGTGAGCCGTGCAAGCCCGAAACCTCGCCCTCCACGCCCGCGTGATGCGACACTAAAGCAGTCCTTGCTATTTCCAGACAACCCCTAAACGATGAACTCTGAAATCCCAACCCCCGAACCCCAAACTCTAAACCCAAAGCCCTAAACTCCAAACCCTAAACTCTAGAACCCTCAGCCCTAAACCCTAAACCCTAAACCCCAAACCCTAAGCCCTAAGCCCTAAGCCCTAAACCCTAAACCCGAAACCCAAACTCTAGAACCCTCCAAGAACGCTGACACACAAGGAGCTACCTACGAGCTCCTGGACGAGGCTCTGGTCGAGTCCCCGGAGCTCTATGAGGTCCAATGTCGGTGCTTTCAGGACTTGGGTTTAGGGTTTAGGGTTATGGGTTTAGGGTTTGGGGTTTAGGGTTATGGGTTTAGGGTTTGGGGTTTAGGGTTATGGGTTATGGGTTTAGGGTTATGGGTTATGGGGTTTAGGGTTTAGGGTTATGGGTTTAGGGTTTAGGGTTTAGGGTTTAGGGTTTAGGGTTATGGGTTATGGGTTTAGGGTTATGGGTTTAGGGTTTAGGGTTATGGGTTTAGGGTTATGGGTTTAGGGTTTAGGGTTGTGGGTTTAGGGTTATGGGTTTAGGGTTTAGGGTTATGGGTTATGGGTTATGGGTTTAGGGTTTAGGGTTATGGGTTTAGGGTTTGGGGTTTAGGGTCATGGGTTTAGGGTTTAGGGTCCCTTGTAGGGTTCCTTAAAGGGATCTACAAAACGATTTCTATACGGGTGCTATAAGGGTTCTATTTGGGTTGGTCTCTAAATCAGAGTCCCTTATACTATATGGCTACCACTTTGTTAACGGTTCCAGAACGGGGGGTTGAGTTCTTGCTAGGGTTCTACAAGGGCCCGATGTGGGGTCGGTAAGCAGGTTTTCAGTAGTACTAGCACACTTCAGTCATTGGCGAAGAGGGACTAGTCGTGATACTTTATCCGCAACAGGTGTGACTCGCCAGGGAGAGCAACACCAGCAACAGTAAAACTTGTGATCTAGGTCTGCTACCACTAGCACTCTGATAGCTGCGTTGCGACCTTTGCTCTCTAAGGTTGAACCCATGGGCCCCCAGTATGGGCCCTTAACCCTGGGATCCTTCTACACCTAGTATATACCCTACATGTACCCTTAAGGGTCCCTAGAAAGGCTTAAGGGTCCATATTAGGGTTAAGGGTCCATATTAGGGGCCCATACTTCTGACCTTAGATACTGCAGCATCACCGCGCATCCACTTGCTTCGGCTTCGGTTCCTTGTTTCCACAGCACAATGGATTTCCGTCAGTCGGGCACTCTGGCCTGAGAAACCGGACAAGGGCTTCAGAGTCGGGGCTGCAAGTGGCGGGGTTTAGGGTTGTGCTACGATAAGGGCAGAATGGAAAGTGACTCACAGCTAGCTTGCTACTTCGCCACCGTAAGTGTGGGCGTCAGCATCAGCTGCCTAGCTTCCACACCGGGGCATCAACAAGAGCACTATCGTCAGCACTATTGCCATCATTGCCGTCATCAGAGAGTCCAGCATCACGCCAACCATGATCGCCTGCCACTATCATCGCTGCCGTCGCCTCTGACACCGACGTACCATCACCCTCACCATGACCATCACCATCGTCATCGTCATCATCATCATCATCATCATCAACATCAACATCAACATCATCATCATCATCATCATCATCATCATCATCACCATCATCATCATCACCATCATCACCATCATCATCTTCAACATCACCATCATCATCATCATCATCACCGTCATCATCATCACCATCATCGTGATCACCACCATCATCATCATCACCACCATCATCATCATCATCATCACCATATCATCATCATCGTCTTCATCATCATCATCATGATCATCATCAGCAGCAGCAGCCTCAGCATCACCGTGATCATCATCATCATCACCACCACCATCATCATCATCGTCTTCTTCATCATCATCATCATCATGATCAGCAGCAGCAGCAGCAGCAGCAGCAGCAGCAGCAGCAGCAGCAGCAGCAGCAGCAGCAGCAGCAGCAGCCTCATCATCACCGTCATCATCATCATTGCCATCATCATCATCATCGTCGTCATCATCATCGTATTCCTCGTCTTCATCATCGTCATAATCGTCATCATCGTCATCATCATCGTCGTCGTCATCATCATCAGCATCAGCATCGTCGTTATTTTTGTTGTCGTCATCATCATCATCACCATCGTCGTCATCATCATCGTCATCATCATCATCATCATCATCATCATCATCACCATAGTCGTCGTCATCATCATCGTCATCATAATCATCGTCGTCGTCATCATCATCATCAGCATCATCATCCGCAGCATCCTCATCGTCATCGCCATCGTCAGCGCCCCCGTCACGTGCAGATTTAAAGTGGAACACTCTCTGCTACACCTCTGTACTCTGACTTTGAGTTGCATACTTTATGAGGTCCAAAGCAGGACAATGAAAACTGACAAGCCTTCGGCCAAAAAGCAGTGTATGTCCTGAGCGTTCCACATCGTACCCCTCTCCCGAGCTGTCCATTCGCCGTTTGCCAGGGGGTGGCACGAGCTGTGGTGGAGCCCACCCAGGCGATCCTGTCCTATGATCCCTGGCCGAATCCGTAATTTCGTGGTTAGGATCCAAAGGAAGCGCAGTTCGAGATTGAACCCTAAGCCGTACTGTAGACATCTTTATTTGGAATGTCATAATGACAAGAGTATTCTGAATAACAGCAGTATGCGCGTAATGCACGGTCATGATGATGGTAGCGACCAACTCGCATGTGCTGCACCGTCACATTGGTGTATGAGGGTTCGGGGTTTCAGGTAGAGTAGCCAAAATGTGTGCAACAGCCTTAGGTAGAGTGCAATCCTGCGTCCTTAGCCCTCATCACAAAATTAAATGGCCTAGGGTTAATAGGGTTTACCCCGCATACGAAGAGCAACCCAACCCTTCGCCACCCGCCCCTCCCCTCGTGCGTGCCCGTGCGAAGTCTGAACGCATGAGACCAAGGATCGTGACACCGTGGTGGTTCTTTTTGAGCTGAAGACCGCGCGGGGCGCTGAGACGCCAAACAGGCATTCCTCAATCCCGAAGACTTCCGGGTTGAGGTTTTGTATATTAGGGATTTCAAGATTTAGGCGAAGGTTTCGGTGTTGAGGGTTCAACAACCACGAAATGAATGACCTTTGATAATATAGCAAGCATCACACGTCATTATACTGACATTTCCCAGGCATCCATACATTAGAACAGCCCTAAGCCCCACATCCTAAAAGCTCTATCAAAAGTTCATGCAGCAAAAGTCCAGGGTGCCGGCGGCTTTATGTTTGTGGTGCGTTTCAGGGGTGAAGGCTTGGGCTCCAGGCATTCTTCAACCCCATGCAAGCAATCACAGCCTGAGCTCCAAGTTGTCATACAAGAGCTGTGTAAAATCCAGAGAACTTTGAGACCACAGCCAAAGCCTAAGCCCTTGAAGCTTAAATGCCGCGCTGCGTCGAATTCAAGCGTGCTCAGCTCACTTTGGAAAGGATCCAAAATCCTCAAATCTGAGCCTCAACCCAAATCCCTGAACCCTCAACCATTTCAACCTGAAGCCTCAGCCCCAAACCCTAATCTCCGCTAAACCCTAATCCCAAACGGTTTAGGGTTTGGGGTTTGGGGTTTTGTTACCCATAGGCCCCATAGTAGTTCCTCTTTGTGGCTTATATTTAGGATCCTATTAGGTTATGAAGTAATCCCAAAAAGGAACTACTATGGGGCCTATGGGTTAGCCTAAACCCCAAAGCCCTCAACGAGCCTTCTCTCAGTCTTCCCTCTGCGCCGGCACTGCTGACGCTGCTGGCGCCTGCGGGCTTCACTTTTCGGCCGCTCCATCTGAAGAATCGGTTCTATAAGTTAGGAACCCAAAAACGACATAAGCATAAGCATTTTATAGGGATATCCCTACTTAATTGGGCTTCATGAATTACAAGGCCTGTTTATATGGGATATCCCTATCCTAGTTTTTGCTTATGTCCTTTTTTGGGCCCCGAACAAGGGTGCCATGAGGGTACTACAGGGCTACTATAATTCTATAGGGGTACTATCAGGGTTCTAGACAGCTTCTGTAAGGTGCGATAAGTGTGCCATCAGGGCTCTACAAGGATACCATCACTCAGATTTGTATTTTGGGGGTTTGTGCTGGAGAGTTTAGAATCTGGGATAAGGGGCTCGGGGATGCCTAAACCCTAGACCCTAAACTCTAAACCCCTAAACCCTAAACCCCTAAACCCTAAACCCCCTAAACCCCAAAGCCTAGAGGCTTTGGGGCCTTCGGGTTGACCCAGGGTTTGGAGTTTAGTGTTCCGGGTGTGGGCTTCTACACGGTACCTGGAGGGGCATCTTGAAATATAGGGGCCTTAATAATTAGAATAGGGTTTGGTGTTTAGGGTTTAGGGTTTAGGGTTCAGGGTTTAGGTAGGGGCCTTAATAATTAGAATAGGGTTTGGGGGTGTATTCTACAATTAAAAAGGAATCCCCAAAACCCTATTCTAGTCATTAAGGCCCCTACATTACCCCTCCAGTACCTTGGTACCGCAGATGATTAGCGTTGGGCCATTTCAGACATATGTCATAGATGCATGCATGCATACCTCCATACACACATCCATCCATACATGCATGCACCCATGCGTACATGCATACATGATGCACATCTGTACATGTATGCCGCCGTGTTGAGCTGATAAAACATGGCCAAAACGCAGAGAACCGTAAGAACACAACGGCCTAGGATTTACGGTTTAGGGTTTAGGGTAACCCGAAAGCCCTAAAGCCCAAAACCCCTAAACCCTGAACCCTAAACCCTAAACCCCTAAACCCCTAAACCCCTAAACCCCTAAACCCCAAGCCCTTAAACCTAACATCTCGATGGCACCGTTTCGGCCGTTGAGGTCGGGTCCGCTGGACCTGGACACGCAGGCAGCAGCGTTTGGTTTTTGGCTTAGGGTTTAGGGGTTTAGGGTTTAGGGCCTAGGGGTTTAGGGTCTAGGGGTTTAGCGTTTAGGGCCTAGTTTAGGGTTTAGGGGTTTAGGGTTTATAAGGAGTGTAGAGTTTAAGGTTCGGGGTGCAGGGTGCAGGATTTGAGATTTGAGGGTTCAGAGTTTGGGGTTTGAGGTTTAGGGATATTGCGTTTCGGGTGACAGGGGTTAGGGTGTTAATTCGGTAGGTTAGGGGACCAGTTTAGAGTTGAAGGTTTAGGGCTGAGGCTTAGGATTCACGGTTTAAGGTTGTCCTCTGAACCCTAGACCCTAAACCTTACAAGCCTCTACAGGCCAGCAAGAAGAGGCATTGCAGAGGGATGCAGCAAGGGCAGGGGTCTGTCAAGCATACAGGTTTTGGGTTTAGGGCTTTGGGTTTGTAGGGTTTAGGGCTTAGGGCTTAGGGTTTAGGGTTTAGGGTTTAGGGTTTGGGGTTTGGGGTTTTGGGTTTAGGGTGTATGGTTTATACGGTTTAGGGTAGTACAGTCTCTGTGAAAGCCAGAGGCCCCCCACAGCAACCAACCCTGAGACGCTAGCTACAGAAAATGTGGGACGACTGCTATCGTCAGGTTTAGGGTTTAGGGTTTAGGCTGCAAATTTGATTTTGAGGAACCCCTCATGTAGAGGCTGCTACGCACATCAGGCCTCCAATTGGTTGGACAGTGGCCTGGTGGTATTCTCAGTCCCAAGCCCTAAACCCTGAACCTATAAACCTAAAACCCCAAGCCCTAGAACCCTGAAGCCATGAGCCCTAAACCGTGAACCCTGGGGTTTAGGGTTTAGAGCCTTGAACCCCAAACCCTACATGTGGGGGGTTGTCAAAATTTTGGTCCCTTTTTGAGTCCGTATTATAATAATATTTCTATAATACGGCACCTATTATTTAGGGTACCCCAGAAGGGACCATAATTTTGACAACTACCCATGTGACTGTGTCAGGAAGCTCGCTCGACGTACATCCGCGCTTGGAGGAAAGCTGGCCTTCCAGAGAGCCAGGCGCAAACTTAGATTTTTAGGGTTTAGGGTTTAGGGTTTAGGGTTTAGGGTTTTGTTGGAGCCCGACACCTTCACCTACCAAAACCTACCGTTCTTGTCGGGGCCCTAGAATTCCCCCTAATTCGGGTTGACAAAAAGAACCTGCAAAAAAAGTAGGTTGTGGTGGGCTGAGGTACTGTTTCAAGGACGTGTGCAAGGAAGTCATAACAAGGAGCTCTGGTTACAAGGTGGGTATTTTAGGGGTGTTTGTAGGAACTCGGGGTGTTGAGATATAGGCTGCCTTTTTGAGAGCAGGGGTTCAGTATGCGTAGAATCAGTGCCAAGATTTATGGCGTTTGGGTAACGACTTGTGCCACAGGACGGGCACGTACCAAGTCGATGCCAAGGTGATCTGTCACAATGAGAACCCATATAGCATCAACGCCTCCACTCTGAACCCTGAACCCTAAACCCTCAACCTAAACCCTAAACCCTAAACCCTAAACCCTAAACCCTAAACCCGAAACCTAAACCCTAAACCCTAAACCCTAAACCTTCAACCCTAAACCCTAGACCTTAAAC